CATCGGACATCCGCCACCCTCACCTACTCCGACTACTTTCCCGTGGACAAAGACTTCCGGCATCTTCTTCCTAGTGGTGATCTCAATTCTAGTTGCAAGATCTTCTCTCGCCAAGCCTAGTGTAGCCGAGTGAATAATCCCCAAGGTGAAATTTCTCATTATTAAGTGGTGGATTGTTGTTTAATAGCTCTTAGCTTTGCTACTATTTTTGTTTATCTCCAAGGATTAGTTAATCTACATGTACTCTTTCGCCTAAGCGAGTTGAAAATCAAGAATCTTTAATGAATTTGCTTGTTATTTCAATAAGTTATTAATTGAGATTTCATTGTCAATGATTCTTAAATTTCTTAACAAGCTCCTTTTGCATGTGGTTTCACATCACAATGGATGCAGCCAAGATAGATATAAAAAAATTTGGTTGGCTGACTTCGTAACATGAGAAAATAAGTGAAGAGAGCGGTGCAAGCTTGCATCGAAGTCAGCAAGCAACATTATGGTCAAGGACATCAATGGTATCCAGCAAATGCACATTTCTGCATTGTCAAGGAATGGAAGAACCTAGGTTAGAAGGAGAACCAAAAGATAAAGGTAAGGGGATTGGATGCTAGATGAATGAAAGTCTCAAAGAAAGCATGAGATGGAGAGAAAGAAAGCAAGGAGAAATGATAGAAGGGAGAACAATCCTAAGAGTAGAAGAAGGAAGAAAGCTTTCACTATTGCATCATCAACTTTCATTGAATTATAAGAAATATGCATCATTTATAGAAATAGATCTTATTGAGAAAAGACAAAAATTAACCCTAAACAAATATAAAAATACCAAATTAGCCTTAAATAACATTTAATCCCCAAATAATGACACTTAAATACAAATAAGGCAATTAAATGATTTCGAAAACACAGACTACTCGCTACAAACAACATATAGCCTTCCACATAACTGATTCCCCTACAACAACAACATCAAGCATTTATCACACTACGTGGGGTCGGCTACATGAATCATTTTTCTCCATTGTGTTCGGTTAAGATTTAAATTTTCATTTAATCTAATAAAAGTTGTCATTTCTAATATTTTCTAGCTAAATCTTTTTAGGTCTACCTCTACCTTTCTTAATATAGGCCAAATCTAATGCATCTACTCTCCTAATCAGTTCATCGGAAGGCCAACATTTTATGTGACCAAACCATCTAAAACGACACTCTCTAATCTTATCTTCCACTAGAGCTACTCCAACCTTTTCACATATATACTCGTTTCACATAATTGATTCCACTAAGATGCGAAAATCATTACATCTGAGAATTTAATTATTGTTAGTGAAAAAGTAATCGTCATCAATTATATCGAAGAGGTAGTGCACCCATTCTAAAGAAAAGGTATGAATGGCAAATCCATCCCAAAGAAGAAGTAACTAATGGGACAAACATCCAATGAGTGAGAGATGATAAGGAAGAACATCAATACATTAAAAATCAACAATATTAGTAGAAGGCTCTTCACAGATCCTCAAGAATACTTCATGGCACTAAAAAATTATCTAGAAGCTTAAAGGTCTTCATTAATTGCTGGAATAGACAAATTTGACCAAATACTAACTAAAAATTCTTTTTTTTTTATTTGGTATTATGAGTGGTTTGGAATATTTGATTTTGGCTGATTTGGATTGATTAAATAGTTTGGACATAACCCATTGAAGAAGACTGGGTTGATCAAATGATAAAAATGGGTCAAGATGAGTGAGCAAATGCAAAGAGTACATGCATATATTGCAGGATTAGCATGATGCAAAATAGAGACAAATGTGCGAAAGACGAATGAGGGTTGGCACGAAGAGTGCCCAAGGTGAGTTAGTCGGTCACTATGTATGCACAATGCAGTATTTTGGTCATCATAAGCCTAATTGCCTATGGGTGAGATGTATAAAGATGTGCAACAAGATGCAATGAGGCCCACAAAGGTGGGATGTAAGGGGTAATGAGGTGTGCGGGCGAGATTTCGAGTGAAGCACATTCAGGGAAAACAACCTTGACAAAGGGGCACAACATACAGTATAGTGCATGTCATCATTGAGGTGACTGTTGTGTTTGTGGCAGCAACCCATAATTTGGAGCCAAGGAAGCAGGAGAGCAACGAGGTTATATATGTGATTGGAAGTATTTGTAGAAATCAAATAACTTTTGGCTGAAACTTTAATTTCAGCACTCCCAAATTCAATCCACAAGAAGAATTAATAGGAAATCAAAGAAACCCTTTTTAATTGATGATAGATGGAAGAAAACAACAAGATACAACAGATCCTCAATTAGAGAGGAGGATCCGGCTCTCTCAATTCCCTAGCCGCCGGATAGAGCCCAAAGCACCCTAAGAACACTACAATTTCAGCAAAACAAAACCTCACCTATCCCTAGGTTTAACAAAACTACTTAAAGCACACAATATCAAGAAAAATACCCAAAACAGCCCTCCAATTTAAATTTCCCTCCTAAACTGCCCCCTCCTCTCTCTTCATTAAGCAGTGGGCCCCACCCCAATGGGGGACGGATGGTTGTTGGTATCGAAATGGCTTAAGCATTAAAACTCGCCACGATGAGCCAAAAAAATGAAAAAGAAGAAAAGAGGGTCCGCGGAGAGGCCGGGGCGCGAATTTTTAGAGCCCACACCCTACTCATCTCCTCCCTAAGAATAGACTCTAGGGAAGGCATTCTCCCTTCTCTTTCCAAAATCCCCACCTCCTATCTTCTCCTCTCCTTATCGGATTAGGGTTTTCCCCACTCCCTTGACCGCTAGTGGCTTCCCTTGCCTCCGACGATGCCATGTTGGTTTGGACCTCAAGCAACTTTCTCATTATTTCTTCCACGATGGCAAACTTCTCATCAATCTTCTTATGCACGGATGAAAATTATTTTTCAAAATCTGAAATATTTTCCACCAAATCGAATTTCATTTGTCCAATCTCCCCTTCTAACACTTCTACCCAAGGTTGTGAAAATCAGACCGAACAACAAATCGGAAGGAGAGGTTCACGATTAGACTGGTCAAATCGGGATATAACTGGATGATGTAATAAATAATAATATTATTAAACATTAATAAAATTAATATAATAATGATGTTATCATTCCAAATATGACACATAAAACTTACATAATTAATTAAAAGAATTATTTTTAAAATCTCACAAATCTCATAAGAGCAAAAAAAAAACCCTCAAATCTCATAATTCTATGAATTTAGTATTTACACTCATAATAATATGATAATTTTAATTTAAATATTTTTCAGTTTTAAAATTTGATTTTTAATCTAAATTTAATTTACATATAACCATATAATTTAATATAGCATATATGATTTAAGAAAAAAGATGAGCATCTTATCGCTTATAAGAATGAATATAATAAAACTCATATTGATTATTTTCTTGTGAGAAAAAATAGATAATTTAGATTACAAATATTGTAACGTTATTTTTAGTGAAAGTTTATGTACTCAACATTGCTTATTAGTTTTGAACTTTAAGATGAAGGAGCGGATATGAAAAGTATAGTACATCATTGTTCTAGAATTTTGTTGTCTTGGAATCTTTTTACCAATCGTTTGATAAACATTTACCAATGGGTATTCCAAACAGGGTTCACTCATCTCATTGGAGAGTTGATCGAAAAGTTGATCATTGAACAAGAGTCGTGAGACAATGAGCTCACATGTTTTATACATGTAATCCTAGATTCAATCATAATAGATTGAATGGAATCTGCAACTAGAGTCAAACTCGCAATTTACCGCTAGTGGTTTTTCCAAGTTGTCATAATCAGAAAAACATGTGCATTATCATATTGATTAAATTCGGAAGATTTGGAAAATAAATGTGAAAAACACTAGAAAGCACACAGCAAAAACCTATGGCTTAGAAAGTATGTTTAAAGCAAATGCAGTATTAGAATGCTATTAACCATCCCCAATAAATGATGCACCATATAACCTATAGCAAATGCAGTATTAGAATGCTATTAACCATCCCCAATAAATGAGGCAACATAAAACCTACTTTGAATTCTTAAGTATTCCAAGAGTATAGCAAAAGATGTTGGTGACAATATAAATAAAAGTTAAATAAATTGGTAATAATAAGAAACCGAAACATTTGCAACCATTAAAGTTGAAATACAAGACTATTTCACCTAATATATTCATCTAATCTGGTACAACAATAGCGTTGTAAACGAGAAAATGCTCTGAAATCAGTTACAATTGAGAGACACAATTCTATACCTAAAAGTTTAGCAATAAAAACCCAATGCATTGACCTTGTTTCAAAATGATAGAGCAGTGTGCTGACAGGGATTAAAAAATAGACTTTTTCAAGTTACAATTATTTCTCCTTCAAAATTTTCTTATTCTCTTTTTTTTTTTTCAGGACATCCAAAATTCCAAATTTAGATGCCCTACAGCACCCTCCCCCCCAACCAAAAATCTCTTCCTCTGAACTAACCACCCAAAAGACCACGAGTCAAGTTGTTATCTTGTTTCTTTTAAAGTTACAACGACCAACAATATTAGAAAAAGTTTACATAGAACTTCTCAAGAAGTACTAGCAAGCCTAGCGTTGTGTGCACCTAGATGCTACCAGGTACCAGAAAATTAGCAAGCTGAAATACTACTTTGTTGAATTAAATTATCAAAATATCAAAGAGGAGGAAAGGAACAAAGAATTAAAAAAAACATTGTTTCAATCTTTACCTGTCAAGACATAATTCAAACCTTCAGGAGTAGAAGTATCAGCTGTTTCAGCAATTCGTTCAAGATCTTTCTGAAATGAACGAGCCATGCCCAATAAGCCAACCTGAGGAAATAGTCCAAATAAGCAAGTTGTTGGACTACTAATACAAAATAATAGAAAATATGATGAAGAAACCCATCATCAGATTTATAAGTATTCCAAAGCTGATTTCTCATCTTCCATTGATAACTAGTGTTAAAATAAATCTTAGACAATGAAAAACATGGCACACCGCATAATCAAAACTTTAATGCAATATGATAGTAAATAGAATAAGCTATCAAGCAAATTATCTAAATATCATGGCAAGGTTAGTCTCAGAGAACTTCTGCTCATGGACTAGCAAGTAAAACTACTATGTACGATTAACCATAGCACACAAAGTGGCCATTGAACCTCCGAGATTGATGTTTTTTTATGAATGTAGTATTGCTCTTCAGGATATGAGTGGTCAGGATAGCATTCTTAATTAAAACCAAAATTAATAGATTGAAGGAACAAGTGAGCATTTAACTGGAATTTCATCATACAATTATGATTCTTCATCATTACAAACATTATTATCCCAACAACTGATGCCAGGCTTACTAATTCTCCATCTCAATATATTCTTGTTGAGTGCTTCATATTCATGAGGACTTAACTGCACTTGTACAAATACTTTTTTTTTTTTTTGGCACAACTTTAGTCATAATATCGTTTGTTTAGGCATGTCATTTTAATCCTTCCATATTAAAACTATTTTCATCTCAACAACACATCTAATATTATTTGTTGTAAATGCCTAAACAAACATTTTAACCCTAGTTCATTACCTTCTCTTCAGTAAATGTTACTAACATAATCTCCTTAATATAATCAGTTCTCATGTATACTCCTCAGATTTACCAAATATCCATCATATCTTCTCTTTGGCACATTAATTTCATTATCAATAACTTCTTCGTAGCTCTATTGCATGGATTCTAGCCTACTTGTTCTAATCGTGATTTATAAAGATAGCCTTATGCAATATTTTAAAAATTGGACCAACCGGTTCAACCAGCTTAAATGGGAACCGGTCGGATTCGGTTAGAAAGCTGGAATACCATTGAACTGACCACAAGCAATTTGAACCGCTAGCTCAATTGGATAACAGTTGAGCCTAAATTGTTTTTAGAAAACCGGTCAATTTAAATTATAGACATTTATAAATCATTGATTTAAGATCCAACGGATGAAATTTCTATCCTAAAAGTTCAATATACTAATTATATAATTTATAATATAATAATTTAAAAAATAAAATCAAAATTAAATTTATAGACATTTATAATCTTCATTTCCTCTCCTCCCTAACCCAAGAGTCTGAGACTTGCCTTCTGCGACGTTCTGTGCCCCTCGCTAAGCTGCAAAGTAACCCCGCCCCCTTAGTTACCAGCCACCCTTCTCCCTCTCACTTAACCAGACATCAAGCCCCAATTCTCCTCCTTGACTTAATAGAATGTAAGACTTCTCCAAAAAAGATAACATAAAATTTATTCCTCTTATTATATGATTTCTCATGGTTTTAATGCTCTTGCGATGTTTAATATCATTTTTTATCAATATTATTATTTATCAAGGATTTTTTCAAAAAATTTGAACATTTTAATATTTGAAATTTTTATTATGATTTTATAACCTATATGGCTAAATCTATTATTATCATTTTTTTGAAGTTTATTTAAGATTTCCTAACACTTAAATTTTGTTGATGTTTTCAAATTTTTGTTTTCCTACAAAAATACTAACATTTATCATGAAAACCCTAACACTCAAATTTTGTTGATTTTTTCCTACAAAAAATTTGAATAACATGAAAACCTCACATTTGACTTGGATGTGGTGATTTGGAGGAATTTGAGGATGAAGCTTTTGGTGAAGCGGCATTTGACGATTCAACTTTTAGGGATACCTTTGATGATGCAAATATGGGAAAAGAATTTTAGATATACCTGAACATTTATGTGCCATTTGTTTACTGCTTAGTTCAAAACTATTGACTAGTTTAGTTAAATCATGATCTTGTATTTTCAATGCCTATGGATATTTTATAGTGCATGTTTACTTTTTAGGTGAAATCATGATGGCGTATCACTGTATCTTTTATAAGTTGCAATCTATCTATGTAATTTGATTATCCAATAATATTCTACTTCAACTTATGTCACTTATATCATATGCCATTTAATTGATATTACTTTTTTTATCATCATTTCACTTCTAGAGTTTCAACACTTACAGGATAAAAGAGTTCACGCAGACATTCTAATTTGTTCTTTATGACTATAAGTGAAGATGACATGTACTTAAATATTAAATGCCCATAATTTTAAAATTATTGAATTTATTTATTGCAAATATTAATTATTCCATAATATGATTCCATTTAAATTTTTTAGAAATATTTGTACATGTTGCATCAATATTACATAATTTATATTGTTCTTGAATAAATATAATATTTATTATGGAGTAAAAGCTCAAAATAGTCTAAATAGTCTCCCGACTATTGATAAATGTCCAATTTAGTCCCAGAGTTTCTCATTGCCCAATTCTAGTCCCTTCACTATTACAAATTGAGTCAATTTAGTCTCAGAGCCTAAAATAAGAGTTAAAATTAAACCCAAAGTTAAATATGAAGGAAATCTTAGGTATTACAATGGGAATATGATATTACATTGATCTATTTTACAATTTAATAAATTATATTATATAGTTAATCTAGTACATAATAATGATGAATAAATAGTAAAAAATATATATTTTTTAAAACAAAACCTAACATTGCTCTTCTTTATCATATTCTAATATGAAATGAAACTTATTTTAATAATTTTTAATCTACTATATAATCTATAAAATTATTAAAATATGGTAAAGAAGAGCAATGCTAGGTATTACTTTAAAAAATTATAAATTTTTTTCATTATTTATTTACCCTTATGATATATTAGATAAAAAATATACTATATTTATTAAATGATAAAATATAGTAATGTAATTATGTAAATAATGTAATCTCATATTCAATTATAATATCTAAAATATCCTTCATATTTAAATTTTTAGTTAACTTTAACTCTTATTTTAATCTCTGAGACTAAATTAACTCAATTTCTAATACTCGAAGGACTAAAATGGGGCAATGAGAAACTCTAGGACTAAATTGGACATTTATCAATAGTCGAGGGACTATAACTTTTACTCATTTATCATGTCTTCCGGTTCAACATCTGATTCAACCATACTCAAACCATTAAACTATAAACATCTCCTTTTATCGATTCATTGTCCGACCTAGTTTTCACAACCATGACTATTTATATTTCTGATATAACTACCTACTTTAATTTTAGCAATCATGTTGGTGTTTATAACCTTATTGTCTAAGTCCCTAAAATTATGGATTCAATGTAATAAAGCTATTGTAATTAGGCATCAATTGATATTTTGGTAATAGTGATCGAAATTAAAAGTGCATATCATACACTCCATTTTTTTACACCAATTTGAAACCCTTCATCTTCTAAAGATTTCCTCCACTGTACCAAATTTAACTTAAAATGAAATGTGAGGCCTATATCTTCCATAAATATTGTACACTAAGATACCTTTATATTAAACATCTTTCATACCCAATATTTGATGTAATGTTATTGTAATTGAGAATTCTTTTAAGTCACTCCACAACTATCTCTTATACTAGGTATTATTTCATCAACTTATATTCAATAAATACAACTTATCTTTGACATGCTTCTCCTTAATGCCTACAATCTAAGTTACTAAGACAACCAATCATATAATATCAAGATCCTTCAATTGTTATCTCTACTTCCACATTAATTGCCTTAACACAAAAATTGTCTTCTAAGAAAATCTTCAAAACATAGAACCAAATTAATGATCAAATCAAATATCAACATGATTTTTCTCAACCTTTATTCCATTACCTCAAACCTAACGGCATATATGACAATAAGTTTAATTCCCCTGCAATAAACACAATTGCAAACTCCTTTATTCTTAAATATTAATAACAAACACGTATTCATCATCATTAGGTGCTCTTTTAATCTTTATAGTTAATTAAAAAGACTTATTACACACAACTTAAATATCTCCAATACAAATGATGTGTTTTGACATAGTAGTGATGTTTCCCTATCATATCAAATTTATCAAATTTCTTTGTGCGGGGTGCAAACAAGGCACTCTGCAGGTTTGTTTAGCATATAAAATGTGCAAATAAGCCACACTGCAGCACACTCTCATATATCTCATATGGGCCAAATATTTTACACGCATACATCTTCTTCAAAACTACTTCGAACTTCAATTTTTTGGATCAATCTTTATATTATTTATATTTTATTTTCTGCTTTTCAAAATAATTATTTGCATCAAAACTATTTATTCATAATTTCTATAAGATGATATTTGATTTGATGTTTTCTTTAATTTAATATTATGTTATTTATGAGAAGTAGTGGTTTGATATTACATCTCATATAGAGGTAATATGAATAACACTAGTTAAGATTACAGTTAAATCCCAGCCGTCCCTTGACACTTGATCCCACAGCTAGGATGGGAATTCATGGGAGGCTCACCTGGATCACGTTGATCTTTGTTAAATCCCAGCCGTCCCTTGACACTTGATCACATAGCCAGGATGGGAATCCGTAGGAGGCTCACCTGGATGACGCTGATCGCCTTCCATATTTGAGTGGATAATTTAGGAAGGATTGTATGAGGGAAATTATACATTATTATGTAATTATTTGTTTCTTTATTAAGATATTTTGTATATATCTACAAATAGGAATAATTTTGTGCAATAAAATTAAGCATTTTTCCTCTCCAATTTTTCGAATTTAACATGGTATCAGAGACTAAAGAGATAATCTGTGAGTTCCACCACTGGCCTTCATTGTTGTTGCGAGATCTTCTTCCTTCTATAGTCGTGCCTTCACTGTCAGCCTTCTCTTGTTGTTGCTACTACTATTATAACCAGCGCAACCTTCATTACTTCCCTG